ATGGTGATATATTGAAGAAATTTGTTCCAACATTAACACGGCTATCATGGCAATGTGAATGGAGACAGAGAAACAACTTACAAAATAATTCCTTGTGTTTGCTGCTGGATTTGGTGTGTATCTGGCAACCTGAGTCAGGGAGCGTGGGAGAGGACTACAAAATATTGACTGTAACTACAAAACCACTTTTGGCCGAATTTTTACATACTGCTTCTTTAAAGCTGGTGTGCCTTACTTTTTTCCTAAATAAAACATGTTCTATGTCCAACAACAAACAGCATGTATTATTTAGACAAAAAGTACTGTATTTTTGTCTTATTTCAGTTCAGAATGGTAAAACAACACATAACACTTGTTCTAATCTTTGTTTTAAAGGAACAATATGTAAAAATCTGGCCAAAAGTGGTACTGCAGTTACAGTCAATATTTTGTAGTCCTCTCCCACTCTCCCTGACTCAGGTTGCCAGATTCACACCAAATCCAGCAGCAAACACAGGGAAATATTTTATCAGTTGTTTGTCCGTCTCCATTCACATTGCCATGACAGCCGTGCTAATGCTGAATGAATGTTTTGATTCATGTTTTTTTATTATTATTATTTGGACATTTGAGATAAAAAACAAAAACAAAATAAAAGCAATGTAATTATACATAGTTTATGCAAAATAAATAAGAAATTGATGTTCAAAATAGGAGTGGGAAGAATGGATGTTGGAACGTATTTCTTCAGCGTATCAACATCAGGGTTTGCTCAAGAGGATATCACCTTTCAATTTTATTTATACCCTATTTTTTAGACAAACATGTAAAAGTCCCACATCAAAAAGAGACTAACATTATTTTAATTGGGGTACATGTGGTCTGAAATGATTATTTTTACAATTAAGCTATAATCTGCAAAAAAACGCCTTGACCTTCGTCTTTTACCGTTTTTAGAGCAATCTGTCATAGAATGTGATAACATGCAATAAATACAAAAAGACATAGCCCGGAATCGAACCCGGGTTCCTGCATCGTAAGCGCACAGTTTTGACCACTAGACCACCGATTCACACGAGTAGAAACGCTGTGAAGAACGGACTCAAACTAACAAAATCTGCATCACACGTAAACTTTTATCAGCTGTCTCAATTGTTCAAAGGCGTCCCGATATAAATCCTCGTTTTAGTCTTTGTTTTGTCATTAAAGGAATAGTTCACCGTTTTTACATACTGACATATGTTCTTACCTTACCTTAGACTAGTTAATATGTACCTGTCTGGTCTTAGTCCGTGCGCTTTGTCATGCAAACGGAGCAAAAACGGGAGCACAACCGCAGCCTCCTCTGTATACTGTATAGGACCCAAAAGGTAGCTCCCGCTAGAAGCTACCAAACTCTTCCAAGTGTTCCCTATTAAATGTATATAGTTACGTGACGTGTTACACTGCAAAGTATAGTAACACAGAAATGTAACAGTTGATTTTCTCAGCAGATAAAACAGGTACTATATTGTGAGGCGTAGTAATCTGAGGAGCGCTACGTCCGCGCACTAACTTCTCTCCGTACTACAAGTCACGCTGCTTCTATTGACGGAAGTGAGCGAGAGAGAAGTCTCCGGAGGGAAGTTAGTGCGCGGACGTAGCGCTACTCAGATTACTACGCCTCACAATATAGTACCCGTTTTATCCGCTGAGAAAATCGACAGTTACATTTCTGTGTTACTATACTTTGCAGTGTAACACGTCACGTAACTATATACATTTAATAGGGAACACTTGGAAGAGTTTGGTAGCTTCTAGCGGGAGCTACCTTGTGGGTACTATACAGTATACAGAGGAGGCTGCGTTTGTGCTCCCGTTTTTGCTCCGTTTGCATGACAGAGCGCACGGACTAAGACCAGACAGGTACATATTAACTAGTCTAAGGTAAGGTAAGAACATATGTCAGTATGTAAAAACGGTGAACTATTCCTTTAATGATTTGAGAGTCATAACAAGACCTTTTTTAGTTCTGCGCCACATGTTATTTTACCACTGAGATTAGTGAGCCGCACGGAGTTCTGGCAACCCGATCACAGACTTACATGACACTTCCTGATTGGCGAAACGGCGGAGGGTAGGACATCAAAATCAAAACAATAACAACTTTTACGGGTCGTAAAACTAATTTTGATATTCAAATATCTCGGATGAACTACTGTTATCAGTTAAAGATGTGTTTGAAAAGAACATGATTTATTAATGACTTTTGAAATATTCGGGTCATTTAATGATGACTTGACATGCAAATATTACATATTGCTCCTTTAACTTTACTACACTCAAATACACCTTCAAGCACTTATATCTTTTTGTTGCACTTAAATAGACACACCTTTTACAGTTTTCTTTAGGTGCTGCAATGACATGTTTGGCTCCAGGCAAAGGCACTGGGGGCCCCACGGCTCTGAACTACATCTTGATTCTGGTCAAGGGTTTAACTGGTTTGAACTTGAAAAGAAGAGAGGTTACGTGAGAACACATTGTAGTATGGCCTCTATAGTAGCCTCAATTCAATATCAGATCTAAAGATAATGTGGTGCACCTCTGGAACTCCCCGTGAAAGGCAATTGTCCAGTTAGCAGCTGTAGCTATCTTTACATTTCATTCCATCATTTCGGCTAATAGAATTGTACTACAAACCTCATACTTCATTAGTAGTCTGCTTGTGCACCTTCAGATTAAGTTTGTTTAATTTTTTTGCTAAAATCAATAACCAGAGCTGTTGATTCTATTGGTTCATCCACTGTCTTTTCAAATAGGTAATATTAAGGCCTGGGACTGGATTAAAAGTAAAAAATCTAATTAATTGGAAGCTTTGTAATTAATCACATTTTAATCGCACATAAATATTTGACCTGAGAACAGTGAGAAGTATTTTTTTTCCCATCCACGGGGCCAACTGATGTGACCCGCGTCAGCTTCTTTGTTCATGTTCACTGTGCCACTGTGGTTTGTTGTGTTAGTTGGTGCTCCAGTACAATCGGTCCCGTTCACACGTAGCCGGGTCTCTGCTAAACCGCAGATATTTGTGTTTGTTTGCACCTGTCATCTACATGACAAAGCATCATAAACGAATATATAATAAAACTGTGGCAAAGTGAAGTCACAATATGTGCCAAAACAACAACAAACAAATCGTGCAACCTCTGATCAGTCAAGAAGCATGGATCTTACTGCCTTAAAAACTGTTTGCTGCTGCAAGCGTTTGGCATGGACATGGCCTAAAACTCATCCAGTGAGAAACGTTCCGCGGTGCAAAAATAAATACAATGAAAATGTGTCCATTTTTTTAACGTGGTTATTTTTTTGTAATTAATTAAACTTCATTAACGCGTTAGATACCCGGTCCTAGTAATATTGATTATTTTTAGACAATGAGTTGTTGTTATGTGAGATTATGGGCACGGCCACATAGGTTTTTACAAACAAACTAGGCCAAGTGGCCCGGATTGTCGCCACAGAGGTGTGAAGCCGGCCCGCAGTCAGAAGGGTTTATTCTTTCAACTGTGCCAGTCCAAAAGCGCTGTAGTACAATGCTCAATCCAGCTGGTGGCGCTAATACTAACTTCAGCGACTACCTCAGGATTTGAGTTAAGATTCCGTTTCTCTTCCTGTTTACACTGAAAGAAATGAAAGGAGAATGAAAGAATGAAAAGTGTGGCGTATGAGCAGTGAATGTTGGTGTGAAATAAGGTCTTATTCTTGAATGTCTAAAGTGTTATTGAAATAGCACAACACTGTGACAGCGAGGGTCAGAACAGAAGAGAGTTATCCCCGCAGGAAATGCATCCCTTTGGCCCTAAATCCACGAATCTCCCCTGCGCCCCTCGACCACGGTCCAGGGGCTCACATGAAAGGTAACACAAGCAAGAGAGAATATGAAAGTATGCGACTGCATGGGTGTGAAAATGCATGTCACAGCGAGCACAGCAGTAATATGTAATGTGACGCACAATATCACGTCCCCTCCACACCTCATCCCCCACTCCCCACCACCGACCACATTGACCCCCCCTCATCTGGGCTTTAGAGGCGTGCTCAGGCCAACCTCTCCCAACCATGCCCAAGCACAATTGCAGCAATCGTGCCCAAGCCCATTTGCCGTAGTCGCATAGCACCTACAACCCGGATCTAATTGCGATCTGGGCCTAGGCCCACTTTAACCGGGTAAGTAAAGACCACCAGATGCACCAGTTGTTTGTCTGAGATTTTTTTTATTTTTTTAAATGAGATGGTAGCATCAATGGGAAGTTATGGCTACAATGATAATAAGTCGAGAATATCTGCCAACCATCAGTCCGTCTCTTGTTGTCCTACATTCACGCCTCATGTCTAGTATAAAAAAATAGAAACATCATGTGGGCACACAAAACTAGGGAGGGAAGTATTGTTGCAAAATCAAAACTTTTCTGCATTCTCCCCCCACTCTTATTATTATCATTATTATTATTATCAACAGTGCTCTTGCTGCCCACTGCAAACCATCCATCTTTGACCTGTAATCACGCTTGAATGTGAAATATGGCAACAGATGCAGAGAGCAAAGCATTATTCAGGACCCAAGAGCCATTAAAGCCGTCGCTATTAAATATAATTTGAGAAATGTGCTTTTTGGATGGTAGTTTGTATGGTATTATGGTAATCACACACTCCCTGCAGCGCCTGCTTTTCTGAAACATTCTCTGCTTTTTGTGCCATGTCTTTTGTGAACATGATCTGGGATTTGTTGCTGGTATGTTTTGGTAGGAGGGGTAATTCGCTTCAATTATTGCTTTTGCCGGAGCCTGTGGTCCTTTGTGCAGCTTTATGCAAATTATAGTGTGTTCAAAGTTGTTTTTACACATGTCCTCAAGAGGAAACGTTTCATTAGGTGCAATCAGAACGTGAAAAGCTCATTTTAAAAGCAGACATATTCTTTTGTTTAATATCTCATAAAGCATGTTTTTCTAGTGTCATATTTGCAACCTGTACAAAGGCAGATGTCTGTGTTATGGTCAGGGAAGAAGTTAGGTAAGCACAGTCTGTGTTGGACTATAAAACAAAAATAACATTCACAATGAATTACAATAATCGGTTTTGCTGTCCAGTTCCATCAAAATGAATATTAAATTGAGCAGTTTCACTTTTGTTTTTTCAGAGTGAAAGGGATTGGTCTTTGCTGGGCTTATTTCATGTTTTAGAAAATATATGGTGAAACAGGAATGAACAGTAAATAATGCTACCAGCCTGCTCTATCACTGTGCTACCACCGGAAGGGAGCAGTAACTTTATTTATTTATTTATTTATTTTTTATTTGAAAATGACTTGGTGAAACAACTGCCATGTGATTGTAAAGAAAAGTTATTTCACTGAAGACATTTCCAAAACTAATTCATGGGTAATACTTACCCAGGGTCATAGTATTACAATGATGACATAGTATTTCAGGACTGATAGACAGAAGGGGCGGAGCTACATGTCTTCAGGTCTGTGACTGATGAGGAAAAATGTGAAGCCTTTATGTGTTATAATGTTATAATTGGCTCACAGTGTAAAAACCCAAATAACACATCACAGAAAAATAGAATATTGGAAAATGGACTGTGTCACGTTGCGTGTTTTGAGTCTATATCATATATTGGGTTCACATATTAAGTTACAGTCATACAAACTTTTGTGATGTTAAACGATGTTCTAATTATCTGAGTTTTACCTATAAAAGAAAGACTTTTACAAGCAACAAATAAAATCTAAATTCAATTGATAGGACATGCATTATACAGACATTTTAACAAAATATATTATCATAAAGTTCAATCATTAATTGCAGGAAATAGCTTGAGCCAGATCTGGTGATCTTGCTGGTGATTTGCATGGGAAGAAATCTCTGACATTCTCTTTATTTGTGATTACTTGATTTTGCTGAAAGAGTCCGCTTTTATCAGCAAAATACATTCTGATGAAATGTAAGACTGTTTTTTTCTTTTTTGGTGTTTTGAAAGTGCAACTCAAGATTGTTGCCATGGGCTGATAAGCATCTGTTGTCCCACTGCACCACTTTCGTATTCACCTTCCCATGATGAGCCCGGGCCGACCCCACCGTAAACAAGCTCGACTTCTATTATTAGATTAGTAACGTAATCTTCAGGGTTTTTTTTGTTTGCAAGCAACGTATTTAGAAAGTTCCTAGCCAGATTTTTTTGTCAAAACAAAAAAGGGAGAATCAACCCTCGATCCAGGGTGAATCTGTGTTTAACCAATGTTTGTGCTCTACAAGTGCTTTTATAGTTAATATTTCAGATCTCAAAATGCTATTAGTCATCATTCGAGCCAAAATCCATGTGAAAAGCAAATAGACAAATAGATGGAGAAGTGAAAAGCAATGGTGTCTTGGTCAGAGGAGAATGTAAAGCACCAATAAAACCAATAAACGAAGCACGGCAGGGCCTGGTTAGTACTGTGATGGAGTTCATAAACAGATCTGTTGGTTTTCTTCCAAATATGTTTGAGATGACGTCTCCCTTTCCCTGGTTGCCGTTGTAATTGCTGTGGTGATGATCCAGGGCACTCAACATTCAACATTTATGGACATTTAAGTTTATGGACGTTGGTCAACTCCCCCAGAAGGAACAATACCTATTCTTTGTGTTTGAACTGTTTGAACCGATTCTCTGATCTTTGTTGGCAAATTCAACGGTTTTGTAAAGTTCTCTGAAATAAAAATCTCTACTCTTGTGATTTAGGGCTGTACAAGAATAAATTGAATTGAATTGAATTGTAATTGAAGTCACAGACAGGATCACTGTTCTGTGACAGTTAACAGGAAAACCCGGACATTCACATAAACTGCCGGACAGGAGTGTGAAAATAACAAGTGAAGCAGTTCTAACAGGTGTACACATTTTGAAGCTTAGTTTGCAGATTTCGCCTGTGCTCATCCATTCTCAGCCCTAATGTTTGATGTCTTTTTTTATCGTAGCGGCCGGGTGCACGTTTGAGGAGGACTCTGAGCCCAGCCTGTGTGACTTCAGCCAGGGGGATGATGATGACTTTGACTGGATGTTGTTTCGCTCGTACGGAGCTCCATCCTCCAGCTCCGACCTGCTCAAGGGTGAGTGCCACACCCACTCCTGCCACACTCCTAATGCGAGTGTGCAAGCATGCCACTGCTGTTTTCATTAGATGGAATATCTATTAACTCATTGCCTGCCATTTATCTGCGTTTATCTTGGATATACGTCTGGGGATTGGCTGTATTCTATTCAGCCAACAGGTTGCAACAGCAACCGTGTGTTGGATACATGGGGGAATACAGACAGGAACAGGCTTTAGTTGGTGGAAGTTTGAGGAGTAAAGGCGTCTCTAGAGCTGACAGATCATGTGGAGGATCAAGGCAGCAGAAAAGTGGACTATCATTAATACTATCTACGAGCCAACACCAAGAATGTCCGGTCATTGTCACAGCGCTCACTGCACTAAACAAAATTACTCAGTGCAGATGTAACAAACACACACACATGTGTGCACAAACACACACAACAGTATTCTATTCTATTTATAATGTTTGCCATTGTCATTTTGTTATTATGTGAGTTACTGTTACTGCAAAAATGCTGTGTCACCTAATGGATGAATACTGGCCATTCTTTCTGGCATAGTTTGTCATGGGCTCTACTTTCAATATGTACATTTTGAGTACTTTTTGAAATATTCAAGCAGCACTGTATGTGGGAGAGTGTACCATAAAACAAATGATATGCAATCAAAAACACTTTCTCATAAATTGTTTTTGCTGTTTTATAGAATGGACACTGGAGATCACTGGAGTCACTAAAGTTAAACTACATAGTGTGTCTGTTTCACAAACACCTAATTTTATCAAGTTTTTATCTGAGATTGGTGATTTCAGTCAAACTTGAAGAAGGGATCATGGAGGACCACAAAATCAAAGCAATCTACAATCCTGTACAAAAACCTCATACTTTGATAAGTATGATCATAAGACTAGACATTCCACAGTCAGAAAATGTGTTTTGTCAAATGTAAGATTAAACAGCAGGAGCAGAACTGTGTAGGCTGTGTGTGAATGGTTGGTGGTGGTTGTAGGGGCCGATGGCACATGCTAGTTGCCTTCTGTCTGTGAAAAAAGATATGTGAAGCGTCTTTGAGTGTTCTGAAACACTTTGCTTAAGCAAAAAAAAAAAAAGTGTACTTTAGCAAAAAGAGTATGTTGCAAAGCGGGTTAAGTACTGATTCATTTTGACCAGAAGGAATAGAGTTGTCTGGGCAGGAGTCAAGAGAAGCATGTTGCCATCTTTGCAGTTTGGCTCCATGCCTTTACTTCTGACTGTGGAAACAGAAAGTTTGGCCACTTCCCAAGGGTCAAACCAGTGGGGGAGGGTCCCAGCTCAAAAGTGGCCAAAATGACGTGCGCTGACATGCTTGCAATACCACCCCGGGCCTGTGGGGGTGGACCCAGAAGTAGAATTAGCCAATGCTAACATGTAGCATTGGCAGACCTTTCAAAAACGTCTTTACAGGATGGACCCAAAGTTGGCTCTTGGCCCAAAGCTCCGTTCCACATGTGTGTCAATGCTGAGGGGGGTGGATTTTTTTGGTCCACTCTAGTTTACTTGCTGTGAATTTTTTAAGTCTCTCGTTCAAATGAATGGAGCTGCGCCGGCTGACGCATGCGCAGATGTGTTTTTTCACAATTTTCTTGTGGGCGGGACCACTCGCGGCCATTTTGGATTGCTCCAGTAGAGCAAATTTTTTGGCCCATTAGTTAGAACGGCGGAGATAGGCGTGACTCTGTCCATTAATATATACAGTCTATGGGTCAAACACTGCCTTAGAGCCTGGTCTAAAACATGGCTTTAGAGCCCGTTCCCAAACATGGCTTTAGAACCTGGTCATAAACATGCTTTAGAACCTGATTCAGAGCATTCCTTCCAGCCTTGTCCAAAACATGCCATAAGAGCCTAAGGAAGGTTGCGATTGGCTGAACTTACCACATGAGCACATTATGCTCACCGCAACACCAGTTCCAGCCATCACTGCACGATCTTTGCTGCTTGGCGCATGCACAGTTAAAGCTGAAAGCACTTTTTTCAGTTTTCCTGAAGGATGGACCACTTGTGGCCATTAGCAGTTATTTAGCAAGCGATTTACAGCATATGGTTTTTACACCTCAGCCTGTGTTGCTCAGTGTGTGAGGAAATGAGTGGGAATGAGACTAACTTTTATATTTAATTAGCCAAGTATCATTCCACTGAATAAAGTCAACCTGCCGTACCCACATTAAAATACTTACATAATTCATATAATCTCCCTTCTCTTACCACCTCAACCGACAGCCTAGCCCATTCACCTGAAGAAGATGTTTGTTTGTGACAGTGGGTGTCTGGATGCAAATGAAGCTGTCCGTTGCCTTTTGGTGAGGAATGGTAATGAACGGTGAAAGCTCAGGGATAAATCCATGTTAAGCAGTCTCCCCGTGCAGAAGGAAACAGCCTTTTGCAGCCGCACACGGCCGCGGGGTACCACCGGAAGAGCCACTGCATAGTTTATGAGGAGCCTGGCTTTACCAAGCACCTTTGGGGAGCTGACAAGTGCCGAGTGCTTGTTTAGCTCCTGAGCTGAACAGCTGGAGCTGCTGGAGGAGGTATGCTGCTCTGTGGGGCAAAAAAAGGAGGGATCCATGTGTGGAACATGGATCCCTCCTCCAAGAACAAGTGATGAGAGTGTACTTCAGACTGTAGGTGTATGCTGGGATTTCAAAAGCATGTTTTTGTTCCTCATACAAGATGATAAAGCGTTTGATTTTACTGTTAAAAGTAGAGATGCACCGATCCAGCTTTTTTACTACCGATACCGATACCAGAGCTATGGGTTTCTGCCGATACCGATATTGACCGATACCGGAAATGATCATGCTAAAATGTATTTAATAATTGAACTCTTTGTTCAAGCAACTGCAAAAGCAGCGGATGAACTAAAGCGCTAAACTTTTCAGATAAAAATGGATTCAACATAAATGTGCAATACTGCAACTATAAAGAGCTGCTCAATGTTCACATTAAACATTCCAACACTGTATTATACCTTATACATTTATTGAATATAAATGTACTTATATTAACTGTGTTTGAATAAAAAAACACTTACAACAAACAAAACACGCTGCATGAAAATGTAAATAAATAATAGTACCGTAGCTTTAACTGGATTTCAGATATGTATTTGGCGACGGCATGTACCTGGGTTCCAAATGGTCTATGGGGCTGCGAGCCCAAACTGATGAACTCCAACACTTCCGGGTTGTTGCTGAAAAGCTTTTTCTGACGCTGCGTCAGTGTCATCTGTGTCTCGTTGTTTTCACGTAATCTCCTTTCGATGCAAAAACTCCCCATGCTGTTTCTCGTGGTGCTTAGTCGTGTTGTATTTCGCTAGTTTACCGCCGCGTGAACAACGCTGATTCTTTCCTGCGCTCCATGCTGTGTTGTTGTTGTTGTAGAGCGCCACGAGGAAGTGACGTGTACGTGAGATCTGATAAATTACTTTTAATTCATTCATTTTATACGTATATGTACATTATGCACAATGTATTTTAAGACATTGTGCGATACCTGGTATGTATTAAAAAATATATATAATAAAAAAAAAAATAAAAAAAAATGGATCGGCAGCACGCCGCCTCTCTCTACGCAGATATCCGATCCAGTATTTTTTCTGGTATCGGCGCCGATATTGATACCAGTATCGGATCGGTGCATCCCTAGTTAAAAGTAAAATATTAAAAACAAGTTTTTGAGGTGCTTCAATATGGAAATTGTGGTCGATTTCGAAATCCGATAACCTATATTTGCCGGTATAGATATTGTAGGATAAATTAAAATGACCTCTTTCCTCAATCAAAGACATTTTGTTGTATATTGAGACATATTATAAACTTCTGTCTCAACTGTGTGTAAATCCTTGTGGTTCAGGTTTATTGTGGGCAATAATGTTTTAAGATAAGTGCCATGGCAACACCCTTCCCCCAACGACTCTACAACAAGGGAAGACAACCCAGTCTGCTTTGGAACCACGGAGTGACGAGACCTCCCTGGGCTCTGCCCTGGGCTCTGCTCAGGCAACCAAGGGGCTTCGGGCCTCTTAGATGGCCTCAAACCTCAGCTCCACGTTTGAGAGGACTTCCACAACCCTTCAATAGCCTCCAGCTTCAACCGGAAGAAGTTGCTTGAGTTTTGGCACCTAGACTGTGGATCGTGGGAGGACCGCATGAGGCAGCCGCATGGTCCAGGCCCTGGGGACAAGAAGCCTCCATCCAACGCCATCAAGACCCAAGGACTGCTATTCACCCAAGGCTATTCTGGTTGTATGATCTGCGCTCTTGCTACACACAGCTGTTGGCTTTATTAAAACCTATACTTCAAAGAATACTTCTCCTACCAAGGCTGAACACATGCAGGCCTCAGCCTATACCAATCCATTCATAGGCAAAGGCCTTGCTAAGCTCACCTTAGCCTAGCATTTTAACAATGTATCTTGAAATCAACGTTTCCTTCATGTTATTCTTGACAATTTGCATATTTCATATCTAGTCTGTATTGTGTATACTTCATTAAATCTACAAAACCATCTTTGTCTGAAAGTGATATTTGTACTTTTAACTCCAGAAATTGGGTCACTGATTTGTAAAAGAATTCACTACCTTCAGATTCTATTGAAGAGAATTGGACTAATTAGCTAATTAAATAATAAAAGGACTCATGAGATTACTTAATCAATAAATGAGCCAATTAATTGATATTGTTACGTCATATGCACGTTAACATCCATCCATCCATCCATTTTCTACCCCTTAATCCATTTCTGGGTCGGGGGGGTGGCAATCAGAGATGCCACCCAAGTCTCATAGCACTAGCCCCTCACTGACCCTCTGCAGGTGGTGAGTCCACAGGAGGACGGCTGCTCTCTGAGTGTGAGCATAGCCTTGATCTTTTCAGTGGGGGCTTTGGGCAAAGTGGGGTTAAGTGTCTTGCCCAAGGACACAACGACAGCAGTCATCAGTGGGAGTCGGTGGAGAAGGTATCATGGTGGGAACGTTAACAGTTGGGAGTTATTCCCTGGTGCCCCTAAATAAAGCTATTATCAATTATTGTATTTATTACATGGTTGTTTTTATCCAATTCTCCGATATCAGGTACATAACTTAAGTTATGTGTGATATCGACATTTTCTCACCCTACATATTATGGCGCCCCTAGTGAGGGCAAAACAAACTTAATTTCTGGAAATTAAATCATACAAATTCAATGTGACAAACTTGTTGTAAACTGTTGTTGCGAAGAAAACTGAGGTACTTCACCGGAGCAATCCAATCTAAACTCACAGTATCTATTCTTGTATAGCATAAACATGCATAAAACTCCAACGCATTACCAGCGCACTAAAGTTAAAACTTAAAAGTTAAATGCTGCAATTCTCCAAATTCAAATCACTTTCAAATCAAAGATGGCTCTTCCTCTTGCGGCAGAATGTCACACCCCTGTGCCAAGAGCCAAAAGCATCTGGCCAATCAGAGCACTTCATCTGCAGGCTGTGAGAGGGGGAAGGGGGGTCCACGGCCCCTCCCCATAGACACTCAGATGTCCCTCACACAGCACCTCCTGGAAGGTCAAGAAGGGTTAGAGATGACAGCAGAGTTTACGGAGTCATTAATGGCTTTGTGCTCGAACAACATCTCCAAAAACCACACCTGCAAATTCACGCGCTATTCCTTTACTTAGTTCAAGACGTAATGGTTGAGAGTGATTTCCAGCGTGTAAAGCTTAAAACCAAGAGGCATCGAGTGTAAATGTACATGACCACCTGCGACTTTCCAGGGGCGTTCAATACACCGCCTGATCTCAAAGCTATGACTAAACGCGACGTTCCGTTAGCCATTAGCAAAGGATCCTGAAGTGGGACTTGTTATCCACACAGGCATGTTTTACGTAAATCGCTGCGAGTACGCCCCAGCGTGTAAACCCTCGATCAAAGGGGTCTCGGTGTGAATGTAAGTGGCAACCTGCGATGTCCAGGGCCCGATCAACACCCCCCACGATCTTTAAGCTAGGTCTAACGCGACTCTCCGTTAACCTTTAGCAAAAGACCTGTATGTGAGATTAGCTACCCACACAAGCACGGTTAAGCAAAAATCGCTGCAAGTAAGTCCAGCATGTAAATCGTCAAACCAAGTTGTAAAACGAGCCACCACTGGTTAATAATTTCCAGTTGCGCGTATTTGCTTATACTTTCGCTCTACCAAAAGAGCAAACAGAAGAATATCTGAGATTCAAAGTCACTTTTCTAGGAAAATCTATGCTCAAATAAGAGTCATTATTCCGGCAAAATCAAGCCAGTAAGACTTGGCTCCACGTTGAATTGTCTCAGTGAAAGTATCCTCCCTCAACAACACTCCAAATTGTTTGAAGATTAAATTTTATACATTCTCTATTGTCAATTATAACAGCATATAGCTACAGATATTAGCTTCCAACTACTAGCCTAGCATTAGCTAATACAAGCATCTTTGCCTCCAGCTATTACCATAGCCTTAGCTATCTCCATCAAAGAATGGAAAAGCTCAGACAAATATTCTTACCAGTTAATCTGAATAAAACCACTCCAGTGAACTCTAGATAGAGCATACACACAGACTTAGCTATAAAACTCCTGGCATTGTCTCAAACACAGTTAGGACAAACTAAAAGCCAACTCTGTGACATAAGCAATAGAGCTCTATTACAGCAGAACTTCGCCTCCGCCTCCTACTGAGAGCTCTACTTCCTGCTGAGAACTCCGCCTCCTACTGAGAGCTCTGCTTCCTGCTGAGAACTCCGCATCCTACTGAGAGCTCTGCTTCCTGCTGAGAACTCCGCCTCCTACTGAGAGCTCTACTTCCTGCTGAGAACTCCGCATCCTACTGAGAGCTCTGCTTCCTGCTGAGAACTCCGCCTCCTACTGAGAGCTCTACTTCCTGCTGAGAACTCCGCATCCTACTGAGAGCTCTGCTTCCTGCTGAGAACTCCGCATCCTACTGAGAGCTCTGCTTCCTGCTGAGAACTCCGCCTCCTACTGAGAGCTCTGCTTCCTGCTGAGAACTCTGCCTCCTACTGAGAGCTCTGCTTCCTGCTGAGAACTCCGCCTCCTACTGAGAGCTCTGCTTCCTGCTGAGAACTCCGCCTCCTACTGAGAGCTCTACTTCCTGCTGAGAACTCCGCATCCTACTGAGAGCTCTGCTTCCTGCTGAGAACTCCGCCTCCTACTGAGAGCTCTACTTCCTGCTGAGAACTCCGCATCCTACTGAGAGCTCTGCTTCCTGCTGAGAACTCCGCATCCTACTGAGAGCTCTGCTTCCTGCTGAGAACTCCGCCTCCTACTGAGAGCTCTGCTTCCTGCTGAGAACTCCGCCTCCTACTGAGAGCTCTACTTCGTGCTGAGAGCTCTACCCCGTAAAGAACTTGGACAGTGAACGTTCGTCATCGGTCATAATCAAAATTGTGTTGTGTCAACCTCTCGCTTTGTTTGCGGAGCTGGACACAAAGGGGGGGGTTGTAGGATAAATTAAAATGACCTCTTTC